CTAGCGCAGCGAGCTGGCTGGCTTCGTCCCCCAGTTGGCTCACCACGTCCGCGCCAGGCACGGGTACATCGAACAAGTTCAATTTCAACTTGAGTTTCATGATCTGAAAGGCTGACTCGCGTAGCCGCGCCTCGGGCAGCCGATTTTGAGCCACCAAGAGCTTGCCGCTTCGTATGAAGCTGTCATCGCTCGGCACCATGCTGATGTCGTATGAGGTGGTATTCATAGACAGCTCCACGGCCTCCAACGTCGTTTTCACAACGCGGTGCCGGGATTGGAGCAAATTGATCTCATTGTAGTCTGTGACCATGAGTCCTTTGAAGCCCAAGTCCCCCCGGAGCAGCCCCCTGTGCATCAACTCGTTTGCGGCCAGGGGCACTTTGTTCAAAGCAATGAACGTCCCCATGCCACTCCACACGTCTGCCTCCACGGCGGCTTTGAATGGCGGCATGAAGTAGTTGAGGATTTCGTACGAGCTCAGCTCCGAGTTGTCTTGGTCGAGGCCCGAAGTCGGATCGGAGTACGAGATGAAGTGCTTGAAGCAGGCGGCGATCCCTTCCTGTTGGATGTGCTCGATCACGACTGCGCCCATGTCGGCCACCACCGTCGGGTCTTCCCCAAAGGTCTCGTACACGCGAGGCCAGTGCTTGTGACGTGTCACGTCCAGAGTGGGCCCGAATATCCACGGAATGCCCGCCGCCTTGGTGTCCCTCGCCATGTACTTGCCCAGGCCTTGGGCCAGCACCGGGTTGAATGTGGCGGCTGTGTTGATGCTCTGCGGAAACAGCACCGACCCGTCGACGTACGTGGCGCCGTGGACGGAATCGATGCCGAAAATCATCGGAATCTTATTCCGCTTCATGTGAATCGTTTGCATATCTGTGAGTTTCGCCCGCCATTCGTCCGTGTTGGCCGTCACGCGGTTGCCCTTTCGCCCCATGCCGATAAAGTTAAAGTACGACCCGACATTCAGCTGTGCAAACTCGCTGACTTTCTCCAACGTGTTGGCTGCGCTCAGGTCGATTTGGGTCATTTGCCCCAGAATTTGATCCACCGTCTAACGTGGTCACTGGTCAGTCGCTAGCAGAGAGAAGTGCGTTGCCGTACCATCTTGTCTACTATGTCTTTGGCTTGGGCGTCCAGCTGTGCCTCTGTTAGCTGCTGTGCAGCCGACTTCACGGCCAAGATAAGCACCAAGCCCACATGCATGGTTGTAGTCCGTGTGTGAAAGATACAAAATGCACATATCGCAACTTTATTCACCCGGGCTTCGTTGGCTTCATTGGTAGCATTGCTGACCAGCTTCACATCCTGGTCTTCGTCGTTTCGGTGGTCAATTTTTCATCTTGAGATTTCTATGCCAGCTTTGTTTTGGCCGTATATATTCTCCACGTTGACGTTTGGAAGACTTGAATAAACTATGCTGTCCAATTAAAGTTCGGCGTGACCACAACCTGTTTCATGTCACTTTACTGTCAAACGTTCGTCAAAATATACTACAACCTTTGTCTGAAGCCTGGTTTGGGATCATTCTAACAGTAAAACGATCATAATATAATTCGTATTATCCAGTCATCATTAGTACTACTGTATACACTTCCCAAATCAGTTGTGTTACTGTTAAAAAAATGTACGGTATTGTTGGTTGCCTTGCCCGAGTCACACGTTATCCAAATGACCTTGAAATTTCCTCATTAAAGCAATTTGAGTATTTATATGGAACTTTGTATACTCCGACCACCTCACTTCTTATTAGGGGTGAAGTGCATCTCAGTGGTTAGCGATACCGGTAGCTAATCGCTGGTGATGTAGCTAGCCCCAGGGATTTACTGTAGCATCGTATGACGAAAAAGTGTACCCTGATGGGATATCATTGACTGTGAAAGAGTATTTCGGGTAAAAACAACAGTGGCACTGTTTTTAATGAGGGAATTATTCCTTTTTTCTCCGCACCGCACAGGGGGGAGGAGGAGTAGAGAAGCGTAGAAGAAACCAATAAATATCTGAAGACCTCAAGTACTGCGTAGTAATCGGCTGAAAACACCAAAGGGACGTCTGGTATCCTTATTTAGCACTGGTTTGTACCACTGTAGCAATGATTAGGGCATACTAGACGGATAGAGGACAACAAGAAACGGAAAATGTCACTCACTTTGCAGAAACCAGCTGTACCGAAATTGAGAAAGGGCACAAATTACGCATCGAACTAGCGGTAGTAACAGTAACGTTAGATGCTTTACTAGTATTAATTCTCACAGGGGCGGCTGTGTGACATCGTCATTAACTGTATCTGGGGTGGCGTTCTCGGATCGGCCATATACGAGATGGACCTTCTCACACCTTGTACAGCCCGCACGCGATTCTCGAGATGCCGACGGCTACATTGATGCCGTTGACGCCCATTATGGTACCGATTGTGTTCGAGCCGTGTATAGGGGGATGGTTTTTAAGTCCGCCAACAACACCCACTACGCCAAGATGGACGGCACCTTTCCAATATGTTGCCTCGTGTGGCGGACATGGAGGCAATCAACCTCAACGTCAACCCTAAGGCCACGTACTACAAAGCGCACAAGTATTATCCCTTGTGGGTACTGCCAATGAAGCCTCTCTCGACACGATTGAGCCCGTCGTGTGGACGTACCGTGCTGTCAACGGGGGGCTTCAGCGCCAATGTTTGGTTCCGACGGGGTCGGCCACCGCGGCAGACCTCGCCAGAGAGCTTCAGGGCGCTGGACTACCACTGTAATCGTTAATTACAATGCAATGTGTCATCAATACTCATTCGGTAACCTACACATGTACAAAGTGTAGGCATGCTATAACGTTGCATGTCGTCGAAACCAGCAAGTTCATCGTTGCCGTCGTGTACTAGCTTCAACGAAATGCAAGATGTAGGCTGTTCAGTAGATGCATATCCTTAGCTATTATGTCCTTGTTGTCAATTGTAGTTGTTGGCAGTTGTGAAGCCACGAGGGTGTTCACTGACTGCTACAGTACCTGGTATGTAGGCGTGGTGTGGGCAGCGCCATCGCGACTGCAGTTGATTTTCAACAGATGAGAGGTTGGATTGGGCGTATTTCAATATTTATAGCTAATCATATATCTACAAAATTCTGCTGGCTGAAGCGCAGCCACCTCCCATTGCTCGACTTGCAGGAGTGCTGTCCGCTCACGCGTTGTGACGGTTGCTAGCATACAGTGGCTCCTATATGTAGCCTACATACACACTATGATACAGCGTATTCGACACAGACAGAACACACGAACTACATTACTCGATCATCGAGATCACTGCAGTACGCGAAGTTCATGATGGCGGATGTTGCCGTGACAGGCTGACGACTGACAATGGCTACTATAAGGCCTAGACCACCTCTGGTTACGCCTTCGCCACATCGCACACCCTATACGTTGTTTTCCCTACAATGCCCAGTACAGACAGTGGTGATCAAAATATTATTTTACACTTACTCTTTCTCGCCATCCTAGAGAATTCTCTATTTTTTGGCAAACCAGCAACTTGATATTTACATTTGTATTCCACAGGAGCTGCTCACTGTCAATGAATAATTCATTCTTTGTTAGTGACGACTTACATGACTATCTTATTCATTTTTTTCTTTTTAATTCTTTTTAGTCATCGTTGATTGGTGTAAACTCTATACAAAATCTAAACTAGCCAATCCGATCGTCCGGTGAAATGTAAATATATTGAAGGTGAGGGTAGTTTTGCACTCGGAAGTGCGCGACAGAACGTGCAAGACCATGGAAGTTCATGCAGGTAATGACTGAATTACAGCACGGCAAATTGGGCGCTAATTCGTAGAGTGTGTTACACCTACCTATTTGGCCGAATCTTCTGCATTTACACGTACTCCCATTTATTTCTGACGTTACCAGATACCGGTACAGATAACGAAGAGCTCTGGACTTGCGGTGTGGGAATTTACTACGATTATGTAGCTACTCCTGCATTGATAAGATTTTCACAGTCAGCAAAGTACCACGAATTATTCCACACATTTCAAAAAGCATTTCGTTGCCAGCAAATTATCTATTCTTTCTCAACTATTTATACCCAGAAATTGAATTATATACTTATTCATGCAAAATGAATATGATCACCACTGAATACAGATGCACGTGGCCTTTGAGCTCGTCTAAATTGGCAGGACTCGTTATTTTGGACTGTCTAGTACTCCGTAGTACCTAGTACTACTTACAGTACTAGTACTCCTATTAATAGGACTAACACTACCGATAGTAGTATGCTCCTCTAGTATGGTGGGACATGTTGAGTTGTACTCGGAGCACAACTAGCGTGGTACAGTCAGTTTATTCAGCCTCCGCTTAGTGTTCGTAAGCATTTTGTTGTTATTTTCCCTCCTCCGCTCCATCTAAATGGTCTACCGTAATCACTTCAAATCTCCAGCTTCAGCAGACCAGCCCATGGCCAGCTTGGTTGCCGGTTGATTTCCTTAGAACGTGAGTGTTTACTGTTCTCACGTATTTATCTTTAACGTTATCCTTAAAATAACCTCTGAAGCTTTATAGAGTTGAGGAAAACTCCGGAACTTACAGTTAGAGGAAGTTCCGAATCCTCCATTTTGGGGATTCAATCGTGGACCGTGATTGGCCAGATTCGTTTGACTCGGTACAGTTAACGCTTTTTTGTTGGCACTTTTGAACGAAGCGTAGAGGACGGACGCGTGGAGAATGGCCCACATGTAGTGGAACCTCCATCTTTTTGTACTACATAGTATACAAGTAGTGACGAAGAATCCAGTACACGATCACATGTACTAGTAGACACGTCTAGGAACTGCGAAACGCAAGTTAACTGTAAGCTTAGGGTGCGCTGGAAACACTTTCAAAAATAATATTACACTTTCTGGCCAAATGGGATAACCCCAAAAATCAATTTTTAAAATGGAGTTACCGCGACCGGGTATTTTCAGGGGCTATAGTATATTTGGGGGAAAACTGCTTCCGGATTAGTTTTCCCCCAAAGTTTTCGGACTTTATCTCCACAGCAAAACTCCTCAGCGGTGCGGTTTTTGATGGTGGTCCGCTTGCACACGGACAGTGAGCGATGCGCCAGCAAATATGTACATCTGCAACGATGGTGTACAACCATGGCCCACACCTATGTTTCGCGGCACGTGACCATCGGCGCAAACCTTGTTTACTTCGAAGTACTTATTGGGTTTTGTTATGTAGGATTTTGTATGGAGAATAGATAAAGACCTTCGAAGTCCCTCCAAATTCAAGTGGACTCCTATTCAAGTCCGACGCGAAAGGTTATCACCACCATGTTTTTCTCATTTTTTTTCCAAAGTATTGAAAATTAAATTAATCCAAAAACATGCCCAGATTTGTATACTAAAAACAAGCATTTCTAACTTTGAATTGCAATAAAATTCAAAATATTGAGTGAGCAGTAAAAAAAAATACGTTTTTACACCGACGCAAAAGGTTATAACTACTGAACCCCATCAGTTCGGCCAAGATAATGAAAGAATTGATGCGATTATTCACACGAAAATGCATTAAAGCGGCGCACCAGTCATAAGCATCGCTCATTACTTACTTTGTTCGTCGATTTCTCGTTGACTACAACACATATTGAGGTGATACAAATATCAAAATAACCGCAAGATTCAGCTCATGAATTGAGGTTCAAAGGATATCAATTTCAATAGTAAACACGTGCAGTAAGGATTTTCAAATGTAGTGTTTTTTATAGGGGCACCAGTCATCGCCACACGTTTTAGACTTGTGTAATGTATTGAATCCTCCACGCTCTAGTTCGCGGGATGCTGTCATCATATTTGCTATCAAAGGAATATGTGTTTAGAGTGGGTATTAACTGCCACAGTAACGATTTCTGTATGATCAACACAAAATTGACAGGTCCAACCTCTAATTTATAAGGGGCACTAATTCTTGAAGAACTACATTTTGACCAATAAGAGGTATTCAGGCATTTCTATTGGCTTAGAACAGTGCCGATGACTGGTGTCTTTGCCGATGACTGGTGCCCTACGTTACTAGTATTTAGTTGTCATTCCGTTAGCCGCAACAACACTCAGGCATCTCGATTTCTTGCTAAAAATCAGAGTTTGAAGGTACGAAACCTCCAACGAGTTCCAATGACGCAAAATTGAGGCTTTGAGCTCTTCTTTCGAGTCATACTGCTTCCCGCCAGCATACACTTGCTGAACAAGATATCCCCAAACATTCTCGATGGAGTTCAAGTCGGGAGACAACGCTGGCCAGTCCATAACCACAACACCTTGTTCATCCAAAAACGCTTTTGTTGCGTTGGCAGTGTGAATGCTTGCATTATCTTGCTGGAAAACGAAATCAGTGCCAAAACGAAGCTATCAGAAGGCTATCAGAAGGCAGCATGATCTCGCCAAGCGTGTAGATGTAGTCTTGGGCTGTTTGTGTCCCCTCAACGAACGCCAATCAAGTCGTTCCATCCGCCGAAATACCTCCTCACACCATGAGCGAGCCACCACCACTTTGACGACTGAAAACCATTTTTACATCACGTCCAACGCAGTGCCAATACGACTTGAGACCATCGGGGCAATCCAGTTTCCACTTCTTCTCATCGGAGAAGACAACTGAGCTCAACGTTTGGTTTCCGTAGTCGACCATTTCTGATGCCCATTCTTTGCGACGAAGCATGTGCATGGGGGTAAGTTTAGGGGCTTTCTTCATCTTAATGAACTCAAACTTGTTGTTGAAGCGTAAGTAGCGGCAACGGTAGAGTTGTGCAAGCCAAGGTCGAGTTGGTCGTTGAGTTTAGCGGCGCTCAATGTCTCGTTGGTACTTGTTCGATAAAGTCGCCGCTGTTGTTGAGCGTTGAGCTTATTCGGGCGACCTTTTTTGTAGTTGTTCCATACGAGGTGGGGTCCTTGAGATAGTTGGAGATTGTGACATGGTTTCTGTCGAGTCTACGACCTATTTCACGCACACTGAGACCCTTCGAAGACCAAGCCAATGCTTGACCTTGTTCAATCTCACTTAGTTGCAAACCACGCCCCATGCGTCGGACACAAGGTAGGTTTGGAAGTGTATTACACGATTTACAATGCGTGTGAGCCAAACTACACTTATACACGTGGCCAAATGTGGTTTGAACGCGTCAGTCACCAAGTGGTTATAACCTTTTGCGTCGGTGTAAAAACGTATTTTTTTCACTGCTCACTCAATATTTTGAATTTTATTGCAATTCAAAGTTAGAAATGCTTGTTTTTAGTATACAAATCTGGGCATGTTTTTGGATTAATTTAATTTTCAATACTTTGGGGAAAAAATGAGAAAAACATGGTGGTGATAACCTTTCGCGTCGGACTGTGTAAGTTGATAAAAACTGTCAGACGCTTACCTTCACCGTATAGTTCACCTGCCATACATTTTATAGTAACGTAAAAGCCAGTAGATTGCCCGATATCAGAGAATGGCCCGAAACACTTTCCATGACGAAACTTTTTTGTTAATTACGTATAAACTCTAGTGAATACGTTTCATATTGATAATAGAATTGCAATTCTCACTGTTTCGATGCATAGTGTATTCAACGCTAAATTAGGGACATCTACTGATCTTCTCAAAATTCACAATTTTGACTTTGACCAGCAATAACTTGATGAAGCATACATCGAATCCTTCAAAGCTTGCTTGTATGATGTAGCGCGTTCGAGCACTGCATAACAAGCAAGCTAGGACGTTGTTCGATGTTTGTACAGTAATACTGAGAGTATACTTGCTTTGAGAAATTGGGTGACCACATTTCACAAAACGTGTAGGGTTTTCGGAATAACATTCTTAGGATTACCCGTACCTTTCGATTCAATGTTGGAGTGGAACTCGGCTGTGACCACTCTGTTTCTAGTCTATTCAAAATTAATATTTCTATGTGATGTTGGAGGAATAAAATTTTATCGGAGTTCTTCGTGGCAATCAAACTCAAATTGAAATCATACAAGTACATTTCTAGGGCTTGCGATGGGACGGTCACGGCATAATGGAAAGTGAATGGAGGTGTCAATGTCAGTTTACAAGCTCAAGTTTGCATGCTGAAGTCTGCAGGAAGTCGCTTCAAGTTTGCTCGTCAGGTAGCGCGTCGTAGAGAGGCATTACTTCTGACAGGATATTTATGTCTAGAGGCAATGAATATCAAATTTTCCAGTGGTACTCCTGGCTGTACCACTCCAACATTGAATCGAAAGGTACGGTAGTGTGTGTTCATCAAATGTGACCAATTTCCTTATCAAGTGTAGATGTATAATAAATAGTACGCATCGAAGATTTCATATAACCATTTCACATCAGTACCTCTATAAAGCTATATTTTGCTCGGGGCTGCAAAGAGACGCTTTCATAATAGCTATCAATTGTAACAGGTTTTATTTTGAGCGATATTTGAAGAATACTAGTCAAATGTATATCGTTTAGTAGATAACGTATCCGGATATTTAAATTACACAGGATTGTGTATTTTGAGGATACTTTTTGGGGCAAAGTGAAATGTTTTTTGACCAGAACTCGCGTGGATGGACGATTCAAAGCTTGAGAGCATAATTACAGTAGAGCTCTTTCGAAGATTTGTTGAAATCGGGGAATGACTGTACTGATTGATGTCTTTTTATTAACGTAAAAGATCAGTTTAACCCGCTCGGATGGGAAGCATTAAGATGACTTTTTTGGAGGCTTTGGCGTAGAATGTACATAATTTTTGACTTGGTTATGATATTTCAGTTCTGAGAATAGATTCCGAATGCCAAGGCGCACCGCTTTCACGACATAATCGAAATATCCGTTTCCACGTGTAGCATCACATGTAAACTCATCACTTTCTAAACAATTGTACTCACATCTTGATGACCAATTTAGGATAACTATTTTTATCTTGCTTAATGTATATATTAATGCATTGAAATTCCGTGTTTAGGGTAAGTAGTTAGAACAGCTTGTATCAATTTGACAAGACTAAAATTTTGTGGAGAATATATTTCGGGAAAAGTGTTTTCACGCGTGCTTTTTGGGGGTTTTACTCGTGTTATGAAAAGTGGGGGAATCACGCGTGTTTTCTCAATAACAACTTTACGGAATCGGGGGACTTGCGCGTGTAAATATTTTGACATGCATAAGCTATTTTACTAAACAATTTTGACAGCTAATACAATCTTGCGTCTGTCGGCGATCATCGCCGCCATCTAATCACTCTATCTCGGCCAATACTGGTCTACTTATTCTTCGCCTGGCCCCACCGCTGAGTGACGTACTCAGAGGTGGGATCAGTACATGCATTCGTGGCCTCGTCATCTCTCGGACGCGCTACATGACAGGTGTCAATTATCCGAACAGCCATGACCACCTCTATCTCGGCCAATACTGGTCCAAATTCACTCATTCTTCGCCTCGCCCCACCGCTGAGTGACGTACTCAGAGGTGGGACCGCCTTGTTCACGTTGACATGGGCTAGCCTCCCCATGGAGTACAGAAAATGTGCACACAAAGATCAGGGAATCACAGGTAACATTTGTGGAAGGTTGTGATACAGGGGACTTTACTGCGACAGTAGGTCATATGTGCAGTGCATATGGATATGAAGGGAAATATTCCTCTATAGAAAACGCTGCTTGAGCATAGGATTGGGATCTTTCCTTGCTTTGGTTGCACGTCAAGGTGTCGCTATTCATAGTGCACGACATTGCACCGAAATGACAGAAGGGGATATCTACCAGAAACAACCCTTAATAAAGTCAGTACGTACAATCCTGATGAAAGTGGTGGGGTACACCACATTTTGTACGACACGCCGAATTACTACAGTACAAGCTAGTACTAACTTAGTACCCGAGAACAATTATCAACAGTGCTATGTGGCTTGTTCAAATACTACACTCGCTTGCGCTTGTGCGATGTAGTTTTGTCGTCGTCATCGCTGTTGTGGATGTCGGCAAGGATTTCCTCGTGCGTGCATTCACCCAGCGCAGGAATCATCGAGCGCATGTGGTTATACAAGAGGATCTTTGTACTCACATACCAGTCGAGAATACCAAGGCGCAAGCAACTACAATCACTACGAAGCTCGGGGTACATGTTTCGAAGCACCTGGTTCCTTCCTTCGTGTTCGCACTTCTGGACTGTAGTTAAAGTGTGGGACACCTAGTGACATATCAGACACATAATGATATATAGTACGTGCTGCTGTAATCACGGTACTAATACAGTACTACTGTACTTACTTGGAATAAGAGGACTAATCCATTAGTATGGTACTTATCCATGAACCTCGTCAGGGTTTTTACTGACGGACTTTCCCCAGTCGATGCGCCACCTGGACCACTGTAGAATGGCCGAACCTTGTTTGAGACCGCTCCTGTCGGCTGGACCGTCCTTGACCACGCTAGTTACTATGCGTCCTCGACCTCTTTCCTCAGAAACGAAGCCCCAGTCTTCATGGATGCAGTGCCGCGCTAGCACAACCTGGTACTTTTTCGCAGACATGTTGTTTTGGTATCGGGTAGTTTCAGAATATTATCCTTATTTAAGCAGAAATAAATAATTATTGTTTATAGCAATAAGTGGTGGACTTCACCATTTTATTTAAACAGCACCGTGTTCCACAAACGCCATGGACTTTTTATCACGTCCCCTTCAATTAAAGTGCAAGCCGGTGGCTGTGCTTTCGTAGTAACTCAACGAAGTGTACGGCTAATGCTGCATCGTTAGCCGTATGATAGAAAAACAATCTCGTGAGCGCCAAGAAGGCATCGCAGCCGCCGAGGCGGAGCACCGCTGCTGTGATCACGTAAACATAGCTCACGACATGCATGATCCTCTGCAACGACTACTAACCACTTAACTGTACTGTAGAACGTTGAGCTACACGAACGAACTCCATGACCAGAAAATCATTCATCGCCCATGATCTAGCTCAGGCCGTAGTCCAGTCTGTGTCCCTGACCAACTGTAGTCTACTTGGTCGTGGTATTATCTAGAGATTACATCAACTCCCTTCAGTTTACTACCTCTGTCCGAAAGTAGTTGCAGCATTTGACATTGTTGAATTCCGAAAATGGTTACAACAAATATCGCGAGTAATTCACCTGGAACATGTTGAATAATATTTCAACGATTGAAATTTGGTACGAATTGCTCATATGACTGTTGTTCCCCAAATTTAAAGGAATCACTCTTGGGTGCAGATAATGTGAAAATACCGGACAAAATGTACGATACTACGGATAAACCGGATAAGAGTGGAACCCAATTCCGGATAGAATCGTTACATCCAAAATATATAGGATAAAGTATCAAATTTGGCCGCACTCCGGATAAATACGTTACATCCTGGATATATTGGATAAAGTAATAAACTTGGATTCTTGATTTACTCTTTCGATTGAGGGTACTCTGGGACGGTATAAGTTTATTCGTATTAACCTTGAACTCCTCTATCAAAGCATACCTTTAGATTTCGATATTTTGATAATCTTGACTCTCATTATTAAATTATTCTGAATGTTGCAACTACTTCCGGACAGAGGTAGTACAATGCAAAGCAACCTCCTATGATTCCAACTATGATCTCGCCAAGATCGTTGTTCTGCCGTGACCACGTACACAGACGATAGCTTTCATGGCGTGGCTTGCTCTACAGCGACCACAAGCCTGTTTCAGCGTTGCACTCACATCTGCACTATGTACAACCTTGTATTTACGTCTTGAAATGGTGGCTAAGCTAACGCCTTGCTACTACTACTCCAACATAATCCACACTTCGAGCGCTCGACACGGATGTGGTCCAGCCCTAACATAGATGACGTGGCACGCTTACATTATACGAGAAAAAGCAACAACAATGAACGCCCCCCCGGCTACACTGCAACAATTCACTCGACCCCGCCCCCCCCACCATCGTTAAAGCCAGCACTCAACACGGACGTGGTCAAGCCCTAATAACCACTTCGATGCATTGTCTTGTATAGGTGACGCGCTCTACAGTGACCCGATTACATTATACAAGGTGAAGCAACTGCAACAATTCACTCGACCCCGCCCCCCCACCATCGTTAAAGCCAGCACTCAACACGGACGTGGTCAAGCCCTAATAACCACTTCGATGCATTGTCTTGTATAGATGACGCGCTCTACAGTGACCCGATTACATTATACAAGGTGAAGCAACAACAACGAACGCCCCCTGGCTACACTGACGCAATTCACTCGAACACAGTATCATCCAAGCCGCAACCAAGTAGCCACGTGACGTGTAAAGCCTGCGTCTTAACCTGTAGCATGCTCCAGAGCACTGTAGCTAAACGCTCTTTTGTCAAAATTTGGTGGTTTTCACCACTTTTGTAACTTCCGTAACGTCCTGTATCGCATGCTTTTACCTGTGTAGAAAAAGAACGATGTAATAAAAACAGCTTTTCGGCAGAATGAGTGCGAACACTGTGCAGTAAAGGCGTGTGTGTACATGGGAGCATTTCAAAGGATGTCCCGACAAGTTAATACTATCCCTGACGTGACTTAATTTTTCGTATGCATTCATCAATTCGCAACGAAGAAGAACCATGCCGCTACGCAGCCAGCCATGCCGATACGAGGCCAGCCATGCC